CCTTCCAGCTCCCCTGCAGGAGGCACCCCCAGGAAACCAGGTGGAGGGAAGCCAGCCGGAAATCATAGTGCTTCGGACTGGATGCATCCCAAGTTTATCCTGGCACGAGGGTGAGGTCTCGTGGAGGGCATGGGTCTGGCTGAGCATTTGCAAACCCATGGTTTCTGCCAAGAAGTAGCATGTGGGAGCAGAGCACCCAGCTGGACTCTGGTCCAAGCCGTGCAGCTGCCCTGAAGGTGGCCTTGGACTTGGGAAAACACCACTGTCGAGGCTTTCAACTCTGGGCCAGTGGATCTCTGGTCAAAAACTGAATTCCATGACCTCCGCCTTTCTGATGGAAATGCCTAAGTGGAAGCAACATTGCGTTTGTCAGGGGGAGGGTGTCTTAATGTGCTGCCAAGCTGGTTCCCTTGGCGAATGTGGACTACAGGTCGCCTCCCCTGACCAACAGGAGGAGTGGTGTCCCTCGCCCCAGGCAACAGTGAAAAGCGGAAAACCAACTGGGGTGATAGACGCAAGGGCGAGGTCCACAGGGTCAGAGAACGCAGGGCTAGCCCGGGGCAAGTCGGGGAGTGTGCCGACCCGGTAGGCAAGGACCAACCAGGACTCAGCCTTGTGCACACAGCTCCCCTGAGCTGCCTCGGCCAGTCCCGCCTCCGTGTGTCCTGCCCACGCTCCTGACCACCCTCCAGGAGGTCATGAATTGGAGGAGCCCACGGCTTTGCACGGCTGCGGGAGAAGGTGACTGCAGCAAGGGGCTTCTGCTGTGCAGGTGCGAGAACCGAGGGCTTGCTCAGGGAAACAGCGCCACCTGCTGATCCCCGTGCAGAACCACGCTCTCTGCAACCACAAGAACAAAAGCCTGGGGAAACCAGCCTTGGGCAGGGCGGTGAGAGGGAAAAAAAACAAGTACTTGTTCAGGATACACTACCCAAGTGTTGAGCGTGCGATCCAATAGCAGACACAGTGCCCGCCCTCCTGGGAGCTGCATCACAGACATGTACACACGCATGTGAACACACGTACATGGTCAGACAAGCATCGCGGGAAGCCCTTGCTTTGGACAGAATTTGTGGGAAATCAGGAGAGGCAGATGACAGCCAGCAGATGAAAGATCTGACTCGCCTCTCTGTAATTCTTTCAAATAAATTTTTAAAAATCTTAAAAAGGGGGTGGGGGAGGGCTGCATCATGGAGCCTGTGATTAAACACGGGCAGGAAAGAAGAGGGAAGCCAGGCAGGCTGCTGTGTTTAGGAAAAGTTCCCACGGAGGTGGTCAGACTCAAGAGGGCTCAGTGTCTGATGACTTCAAGCAAAGCAGGCAGTGGGCTCCGATGGCTGCGCCCCAGGCTGTGACCGGGCACCAGCTGCACTCACGAGCCCTGCGTGAGAAGGCTGCGTAGGACTCTGCACATCCTTGGAGATTCCTGTGCACTCTGGCCTTGGAGGAGCCCAGCTCTGATACTGATGGTGCGGAGGGAGAGCTGGAGGGTGGGCAGGGCGAGGAGAAGCGGTGCACACAGCAGCCCCAGGCCTGGCCTCACTCCAGCTCTGCAGCCACAGAAGCCCTTGTCTCAGGCAGGGGACATCTCCCCTGGAGCCGACCAAAGCCCGGTATTTCCTTTGAAATGGGTGCAGGGCGCCCAGCCGCTCCCAGCGCATTGAGCCTTCCTGCCCCCTCCCAAATGCCTTGCTCAAATGATGGCTTCTTGGCTTCTGGAAGAAAAGGGGCTGGTTCCTTTAGAGAGACCAAAGCACTGGACTGCTAGAGGCAGGCAGGGGAGAGACCAAGAGTGGTCCTCAGGCGAATCCAGCTCTTGGGCATGGTGTCTACCCACCTGCTGGGCTCCCAGCACACGGAATGACACATGCCTGAGACCCAGCAGAAGGCAAGCCCCCAGTGGGCTCCCCATCCTTCCACAGGCTCCTTTCTGTTGCTTTTAAAACCACACAGGGCTAAGTGTCCCCCAGACACAGCGAGAGGGACCCCAAGCAGTAAGCAAAAACAAACAGGCAAGGTGGGCAGATGTCCCTGCTCACTCCTCAGCCTCGGGATATTTGTCTTCTGGTTTACTCACCAAACAGCTGGGCCAGGCCAAAAGCATGAGCTTGTTCTGGGTCTCCCACGTGGGCGGCAGGGGCCAAAGCACTTTGGGCCATCTTCCACTGCCTGATTCCGGTGCAATAGCAGGGAGCTGGATCAGAAACGGGACAGCCAGGACACGAATCAGCACTCAAAGAGGATGCCAGCACAGCAAGTGGCACTTTTGCCTGCTATGCCACATGACACCAGCCCCAAGTTTAAGCTTTCATAAGAGCTAATCTTGCAGTGCGACCCTGCCCCTAGTAAACACCTGTTCCTCCCAGGGACTCACAGAGTCCTACCCACTGATCCACATCCCAGATGCCCGCAGCCACATCGGGGCTACCACGTGGGGGCAGGGACCGAATCCCTGAGCCCTAACCACAGCTCCCGGTGCGCATGAGCAGGCAGCCGAAGCCGCAGAGCCAGGCAGTCCAACACGGGACACAGGCACCCACATCAGGGGCGCTGCCCGGCTGCACCCCACTCCAAAGCACCGCCTCTTGTGCCCAGTAACAAGGGATCTGGACTCTGAAGACATAATTCATCTCCAAACCTCTGAGGAAGCTGGGTAAAGACCACTCAGTGACTCGCTCAAGCCGGCTGCTGGGGCCGCTGTGGTTGCAGGAATGTGCCCACAGTACCAGATTGTACCAACAAGCCCCTTTTTGGAGCCGAGAGTTGTGATGTGGCAGGATGAGCCACTATTTGGGATGCCCACATGTCATACGAGAGGGTCGGTTCAAGTCCTGGCTACCCTGCTCCTGGTCCCTGCTCATCGGCCTGGCTGGCAGTGGACAGCTCATGCTTTAAATCACTGCCACTCATGTCTTGGTTTCAGCCATTTAGGGAGCAAACCAGCTCCCTAATAATGACCAGGGACATCAGCAGAGGATGGGCCAGAAGCTTGGGCCCCTGCCACCCTTGGGGAAGACCCAAGAAGCTCCTGGCTCCTGGCTCTGGACTGGCCCAGCTTCAGCCTCTGCAGCCATTCTGCTTCTATCCCTGTAACCTGCCTTGCAAATAAAAATTAATACTTGTTTTAAAGTTACCTTTTGTCCTAAAATATCTCCAAAACTCAGAGCTTAAATGAAGTGTGACATTCATATAGTTACCACTATAGGACACAGACAACACACCTGAAACCATAAGCAGTTTAGGGGTGTGATGACACACGGCTCCTGGCGCAGGCACGTGGACAGTGGCCCCACGGCGTCTTGCAGAGGCGACAGCGTGGGCTGGGCACCCGCACAGGGAACGGAGCTTCTCTGCTGTCACCTCCCAGACCGTCCTAATTAATCAGATAATCATCAGACGGCATCTTCAATTTTCCACTTGGTAAAGACTGGGTAAACATACAGAAGAAAAAAACCACATCAATTAACTTTTGGAAAGATCGTTTACACTTCGCCCAGAGCTCAGGGACTGCTCGGTCCCCGGTCTCCGAGTCCTCTGGCGACTTGATCGGCTCTCACGCCGATTCACAAGCTTTGCAGCTGCACTGTGACCTTGGCAGTGCCCTCCTCGTGGTCCTCGGCCATCCTAGGGATGTGCGGCACACCGAGGCCCCACTCAGCGGTCTTCAGCGGCACCCCCAGGGAATGACAGTTAAGCTGTTACAGGGACAAATTAAAGACGCAGCCGTGTGGAAAGCACCACACCACTCAGCAGGTGCAAAGGCAGGGAGGGCCCTGTGCTGACCCGGATGTGTGGCTCACGGCCCGGAGCTCGGCCAGGGCAACATGAAGGCACTTCTTCAGACTTTCCAGGGACCAGGGCACAACCCTGGCACGCCACACTCAGCAGCCTTCCTTTTCCGCTGTGATGCTTCCCCAAGGATGCGCTCTAGCCTCCTGCAAGGTTCTCCACGAGTCCTTAGCTCACAGCCCGCACGGATGGCCGCAGTGAGGCCCAGCTCAGGCCCCTCACCGTGCTGAGAAGTCAGCAGTGCTTGGCTGCCCTTCAGCCTCATGGACTCTCGCAGGGAGGCAGGGCTGGGGTGCCAGCTTTGCTTGCCCTGCTTCTGGGAGTCCCAGACCCCAGGGGGCAAAGTGCGGTGACTGGTGAGGACCTGGAGATCCTGTGGAGCAGCCATCCACCGGTGCTCGGCACAGCAGCAGGGAGCGCTTTTAGACTCTTCCCCTCAGAAGCCTTGCCCTGCATCCACATGGGAGACCCAGAAGAGGCTCTGGGCGCCTGGCTTCAGATCAGCTCAGCTCCAGCCATTGCGACCGCTCAGGATATGAATCAATGGATGAAGATCTTTCTGTCTCCTTCTCTCTGTATATCTGACTTTCCAATGAAAAATAAACTCTTTAAAACAAATAAAAAATAAAGTGAAAATGTTTAAAAAAGCTCCTAATCTCTGGTTTATTCCTCCAATGCCAGCTACAGCCATCCTGGCGGGAGCTGGGAGCCGGGTCCAGCTCTCCCATGTGGGCCCCCACCTGCTGCCTCCAGGGGCTGGAAGCTAGATTTGGGGGCCCAGTTGGAGCCCAGGGACTCTGAAACAGGACACGCACCTAAACACTAGGCCACAACGCTCACTCCCCAAACTTGCATTTTCATCCGATAAATAAAAACTGCACCTGCTTAAGAACTCCCGTTGGATGTGTTGGTCCAGAAAGGCCCCATTCTCTAGGAAACAAAATCCCCAGTCCTCCCACAGCTCCAGGCTGACCATGTGCCCTATCTCTCTGCAGCACAGCCGGCCACACACGGGCCGAGAGGATAGCAAGGGCTGTCCCCGCCACTGCCCACCTCCAGCTGGACAGCACCCTGGCGAGGTGGGCAGAGCTCAGAGCGATTCTTAGAAGAGGGGACTTGCTCTCCATCCCTCACCCCAAAACGCTGCAGATACCACAAACCCATGGAGCTAAGCTCGTCTAGGTTAACAACACAAGCACACACACAGGACACCAGGGCCAGCAGTTTATTTTAAAATACAACACCCCAGTCATTTTTTTCCCATCATCTTCCCTGACAGAAGGTACCAAAGGACAGGGGGTATTAACTTTGCAGATGGAAACGCTGCAGAGGAGTCACAAACAACAATGATCAAACCCTGCTGGTTGGCTGCTAGGCCAGGTGAGGGCCAAGTGCCGAGCTGAGAACAGACCCTGCTGACGGCAAGCTGGCGGGCCGGCCTGAATGACAGCCCAGAGGCTGTAGCTCAGTTCACATCACAATACTTTGGGCACAAACACCAGACCAACTGAAGCCACCTGGCTGCTGTGAGCCGAAGAGGAGGCTCGAGCAGAGGCCCCGGCGGCGAGGGCTCCCCGGGCAGCGGGTCCCTGGTAGTGGCAGCCGCCTGACTCTCACTTGGAGTCTTGATCTTTGTTTTCATCTAAGAGGGCGGAGCGGATCCCCAGCTTTTTCAGTTCTTCCACCAGGTCTCCATTCTGGTGCATCTGCAGGAGAATGTCACAGCCCCCCACAAACTCGCCGTTGAGGTACACTTGGGGGATGGTGGGCCAGTTGGAGTAGTCTTTGATGCCTGCAGGGAAAGAACACGTGACTGTTACTGACATGTTCACATGCGAACACCACCACACGTCATCCACTTGGCAGAAAACGCCATGTCCCTTGCCCACGTCCCCGGCTGGGACAGCAGCAAGCCTGTCAGTGTCAGGGTGAACTCCAGAGAACCTAGCGCTTGAGCTGCCATTGCAAGCTGCAAGACCTCAGGCACCTGGGGACCTCACCCCCCACTTTCCACCCTTGGCTCATGAGGCCGTTCTGAGAATCCAGTAAGGAAGTTTCCCAGTAAAATACAGGACACGCTGCTGACACTGGATCCACAGCAGGGAACAATGTCGGTTAGCCCAAGCCCAGAGGAACGCGCAAAGCTACTACCCCCCACGGAGCTGCCACCGTGTCCAGAGAAATGTCACTGCTTCATTTCCAAGGGGACCATGAACAGTGACCCACCTGGTAGCCCACGGCCCATGTGGCTTCATGCCCTGCCCCGGCCTTGTCTCCCTGGGCCGCTGACCGGCTCGCAGTGCCCATAAAGGTGCCACTCACCTGGAGAAGCCCCGTCTGTGACTGCAGCCCTAGGCTCTTCCTCCACGGCAAGGACAGGCTCAGCACAGAAGCCTGGGTGCCTAACAAAGGGCTGACCCAACCCTGCAAGATCACGGCCTGAGCCTGGCCAGGGTGCCTGCTGAGGGGGACGGCTCTCAGCACAGGGGACCCAACCCGCATGCGCAATGTCACACTCTACACACCCCGGGAGAGTGGCCTGTGTGACAGCGCGGCCGTGCACCTGCTGTACCAGCTCGGGCACGGGGAGGTCAGGGATTGCTAAGCACTCGTAGGAGAGGAGGACGGCTTCAATGAAAGACACAGAGATTACTCTCCTAACAGCCCCTTGACCAGTGTGTCCACTCCGCGTCAGTCCTTGCAAAGATGTAGTCAGGGTTAGCTGGGTCAGCTCAGCTCCAGTTGTGTGGGCACTTGGGCAGTGAGCCAGTGGCTGGAAGATCTTTCTATCTCTCCTTATCTCTCTAAATCTGATCTGCCTTTCCAATAAAAATGAATCCTAAAAAAAGGAAGCAGTCATCCAATCAAAGGTCAGTGTTGCCCACGTTACCGCAGAGGTCCCCGGGGTGACACACGCCCTGCACGGATCACATGGTGACATGCTCATGTTTACACAGATATTTTTAACTGGCCAAGGTGAGCTCATAAACAAACAAAACAGTGGTGATTTTGATGCAAACTGAAAATATAGAATTTGCCCCCACACCTCTCACTTACTATCAAGTATTTATTTCCAAATAAAACTACCAGCGTGACTTGTATCACAAGTGAACATTCCCACGATGGGGTGTATTTGCTCTTCAAAGTTAGTGCTGCCCTCAGAAACAGTGAGTCGGCTGCGCCAGCCTTATCGGCACTCTGCAGCCCTGGTCCAGCCCCTGCCACACGCGCCCACCGGGTCCGGGGCTGTGCAGGCCAGGGCGCGTGTGCGTCTGTGAGTCGGTGGCTTCGCAGTGTGCCTGTGTGCGGGTCGGGGTTTCAGCTGGAACCTCACCATCTGAGGGAGCTCAGTCACAACCCTCGCTCCTTCCTGAGAACTGAGGACCGGGTCCCTAAGGCGCCAGCAGATGACACCCCCGTCCCCAGGTGCAGAAGTGGTCGGAAGCAAGGGACAGTCCCCTTCCCCTCCTCCCCTGAGGACACAGGAGGAAATAAGCACTGACACACCTCTGTCCCACCCACCCGTCCTCACCCTAATCACAGGCCCACATGGCACGTGTCCCTCTCAACTATGTAAACAATATTAAAAAGAAAAACTACAGGCTTTAAGACATTTCAAAATACACATAAACTTTGTTCAACACTGTTCCCCCAAGGGAGCCTTCTATGTGCACGTTACACCTGGTGTTTTCCAAGCAGTGACACTGCGTGAGGCTTTCTGTGACAATAATGTTTTCCCGACGTATTTCATTGTGTCTACAATTCAGAAACACACCCCAAAAGAACACAGACTTGCTGCGTGGGTCAGGCACACGGTAGAGCAGTTGAAACTCCACATGAGACACCTGCACCCCCCACGGCAGTGCCTGGGTGTTCGCCCTGGCTCCGCTCCATGCCAGCTAGTGGCTAACCTGCACCCCAGGGTGCAGCAGATGCTCCGGCCCCTGCAAGAACCCTCAACCGCCTTCCCAGCTCCTGGCTTCGGTCCCGCCAGCCCTGGCTGCAGGGGACCTTTGGCAGTGAGCCAGTGCATGGAGGATCTCTCACTGCATCTTTCTCTCCGTCTTTCAAATATATAAAATACATAAAAAGTGGTAAACAAATCAGTTGATGCCTAGGGACCACCACCAAAATGACACGTTTAATCTTCAAAGGTTAAACAAATTTTTTCAAATTCAAACCTTTACTGATTAAAACAACAGATCCGCCAATCACTTTCAGGATGGCAGTCAGCACCGGAGGCATGTTCCAATTCACACAGCTTCACACCGAGACCGTGGAGGAGGCGAGGGAGTGAAGCCACCACGCTGCTCGTGGCGGGCTACCAGAACAGCGTCCTCAGACCACACGGGATTCTGGAGAGCGCGCAACACTCAACCGCACGGCCCTGTCCGAACACGGTTCCCTCCTCCACTCCACTCACCTCATCAGCACATTCCGGAAGTCAGTGTGACACTGGAACCAAGGTGCCCACTGACCGACCGGGCTCACAGTGGGCAAGTGCCCCCTGCTTCTTCGCATTTCCAGTAACGTGTCCAGCAACTGGTGCCCAGGGCGCTGGCACACTTCTGCAGAAAGCTGCATTTACTGTGCTAACTCACAAACTTCACCAGAACAGCTCAGAATCTGGCGGGGGTGGGGAGCAATGGTCTCAGACAAGGAAGGAACAATCCAGAACAGACTGTACTGCTGATCCCGTTATAGGACAGAGAGGATTCAATGCGGAGAGAAAGGGTTCCTGCTGTTATGTAACTATAAGAGTAGCACAGAGGTCGTGTTGCAAAATCAGTTTACTCACATGCACTGCTCCACCACTGAAAGCCAACATGGCCAGCGTGCTGAGCCAGGAAAGCAGAGGGGCAAACAGCTCGAGCACCCGCAGCCAGGACTTGCTCACGGACCTTCCAGACAGGGCCCTGTAGGACTCTGGACTTTGCTCCTGGCCGGGACCTGAGCTCTCGCAGTGCAGTGAGCAGGGCTGACTCCTCTGGGGGAGGCTCCCCTCGGGAGCTTCCAACCACAACCTCCAGGAAGCCCCAACCCTCCCTGACAGCAAGGCCGGCTCGGGCCTGTGGTAGCCAGGTCTGCTACCCTCACCAAGGAAGAGCAAAACGTGCTGGCCGAGGGCTCCCCAGGCCCAACTGCTGGCTGTGTATCCAGCCTCGATCACCGATGCACCTTGCAGCCTCTGCTTTCCTGTCTGTAAAATGGGAGTGGCGCTCTGTGTCTTGCATTTTGTTTCTTTTAAGACCTTGTTTATTTGAAAGGCAGAGCCATGGGGAGCCAGCGGGAGAGACTGGGTTCTTCCACATGCTGGTCATTCCCCACGGGGCCGCAACAGGCGGGGCTGGGCCGGGAACCTCCTCTGGGTCTCCACCTACTGCTAGCATTCTTTGGGAGATTAGAGGAACTCTAGCCCGTGCCCAGCCCAGCACCCAGTGTCCACTGCAGTGCGGGCCTTCTCTTCAGGCCACTCACCTCTACTGTAGCCTCACCTGAGAAGCCGAAGTAAAACAGGGAATGCAAGCAAACTACGAATATGCCCTCCCTCACTGAGCTAAGGGCTGCTCGACCAGGGTCCTACACAACTAAACTTACTTAATCTTCACAAAAACCCTACAAAGTAGGTATGGCCGGTGAGAACCTCAGAGCTGTTAAGCCACCTACCCCAAGTCCTGGTGTCAGCCTGTGATGGAGCCAGGTGTCACCCCACGGCCCTCCCGCCTCAGGCCTCAGCCCAAGGGGCCGTGTGCACTACATCCATGCTTGCAGTGGATGGGTGGGCTGCACACTCGCCTCCCAGCTTGCTTTATGACTAAATGTATTTCTGAAAGGCAGAGTCATACAGGTGGGTATCCCACTCGTGGTTCACGCCCTCAGCTACGGCTGGGCCTGGCCGAAACCAGGAGCGTGGAACTCCATCCCAGTCTCCCACTGCTTTCCCAGGCTCATTCGTGGGGAGTTGGATAGGAAGTCGACGGTGGCAAACTGGTGCTAACTTGCGATGCCAGGGCCACGCGCGGCAGACTAACGTGCTATGCTACAATTCGGCTTTACCTGAGCATGTTTCTGCATTCTAGCACACGACTACACCAGCTGTGTATCTATCCAGCTGTGACCAACAGTCCTGGAGTTGCCCTGGTCAGGCCTGCCCCCTTCAGCAGTCCTGTCGGCATACCCTGACACCAAAGGGGATAGCAAACTGTGCTGGCCGGTCACAGCGAGTCTACTTCCTGGTTCTGCAGATGAAGTTTTATTGTAAGACAGCCACCCTCATTCACTCATGGTCCCTACCTGTCCACACCTGCAGCCCAAAGGGTCTCTGCTGCTTCTCGGGGGGCCAGCCCCGGCCCTCCACTCTGCCCACCTTCGACTGGCCTGCTGCTGGCACTGACTGCTGGTTTCACACGTGCACCTGCCACACGTGACACCCACACCACTTGGTACCCAGCCTCTGGTGTGGCCCATGTGGCAGGTGTTTCATTCAATGAGAGGAAACAGAGAAGCTGGGCGTATCCTCAGTGCTCAGCAAACATCCCACGAGTGGATAACAGCCACGTATCCCTGAGATATCTGAGTCTCCACTCCATCACATTCCTCCTAACCGTTCATCCACCCATCGCCTCCCCAACATGACGGGGACGCCTGCCAGAGAACAGGCGTGTGCTGGTCCCAAGGTGATAAACACACTCAACCACAACACCACCGGGAGGGAGCTCAGTGGCCGGAGAGCCTGAAGCAGATTCCTAGTTTCTAAATGTCTCTTTACATCTATTTCAGAAGCAAAGCAGCAGAGTGAAGTGAGAGAGAAGGAGAAGGTTCCTCACGCCCCAGCCACCTGCAACAGTCAGGCCTGGCCAGGCTGAAGCGGGGAGCCTGGAACTCCATCGGTCTCCAGGCGCATCAGCAGGGAGCTGCATCTGAAGCCAAGTAGCCAGGACTCAGAACAGTACCCTGATGAGAGAGGCAGGTGTCCCAGGTAGCTGCATGACCCCCTGTGCCACCACCTCGCCCTGGGCTCCGCGAGATTCCAGGGCTGAAGTTCCCTGTTCTCTGATCAAGGGCAGAAGTCAGACCTACAACAAAGACGGAGCACAGGTGCCAGGCATAAACCTTCCACACTTCTGCCTCTGCCATCCGTCGGGTACCCAGGATCCAGCTGCATCCAACAGAACATCAGCCCACAAACCAAACACCCTCCCCGCTTTACACTAAGATGTCAACCACACAACTTGTCAGCACCCGACAGGGCCCAGCTGGACGGCTGCAGAGTGATCACTCCCCTCTTATCGTGCGAGCAGAGCTGCCTGGGAATGAAGACAGGGCCCCCGGCACCCGATAAAGGCCCAGGGCTTGGCACCCGCTGCACCCAGGTTGGGCAGGAAGGCAGAAGGGCCGCCAGCATCCACGCACACTATGTCCACAGTGTCGGCCCTCTCCAGCAGCGCAGAGGGCAACAAGGGTTCCGTGAGGATCGGCCAGCGTGGGGCAAGAGGGATGCTGCACCTTCAGCAGGTGCTCCTAACACAACAGCCCACTGACTGGGCCTTCCTGGACCGCTTTGCTTCTTTTCCTCACAAAAACTGCCAAGCTGAGTTCCGTCAAGCGACCTAAGGCTGTACGGCTGAGTGTCCCCACAGGACAGGAGGGCACTGCAGCCTGCCCACTGCCCACACACCAGTCCGTGTCGGCACCCTGAAGAACGGCGGGCCATCCCCACACGGGACCTGCACAAGCACACCCGGAGAGGCAGGGCCTTGGTCACGCAGTCCCCAGTCAACATGGCAGGGTCCCCTGGAACACGCTCTGGGAGGGACAGCCTCTCCACTTCCCCACCCGCCCTTGGCCTCCGTAAAAGGGAAATGTCCCCCAAAGTGGTGGACACAAAGGTGGGCATAGGAGATGCTACGGGGGTGGGAGAGCTAAGCCACCAGTCCAGCTCCCAGCAGTGCCGCCTGGGAAGCCGGTGGAAGCTCGGCCCTGGTACCGACCCAAGTGGGAGAGGGAGTTTGTTTCTCCTGGCTGCCCTGGCTGCTGCAGCCATGTGGGCGAGTGAACCCACAAGTGGGAGATGGACCTGTCAAAGAACTAAGTGTGCCTTCAGAAAACTCTAACGGGGCCATCAGCTCGGACACACACATACTCTCTCTCTCTCTCTCTCTCTCTCTCTCTCTCTGCCTGGGGACTCCACGTTTCCGCACCTCCCTCTTCGGGAAGCCTTCCCAAGTCCCCAAGGCTGCCCTCTCTACTCGAGCGCCGAAGACTAAATCCGCCACCTCGACCCCAGCGCCCGAGCCCACCCGGACCCCCTGATGCCCGCGACGAGGGTGGCCAGACTCCTCGCCCGCTCCCTGCACACTGAGTGACCCCTGGACAGCCCTGCGGGGCGGACCGCTGCTATCAAACCCAGCCCGTGACAGCTCGCCCAGAAACGCCCAATTCCTCCCCTCGGAGCGGGGCGGGCCCCGGAACGGAACCTCCCGGTGCCCAAGGCCCCCAGGCCCCTCGCGCCCGCACCCTGGGCCTCCCGCAGCTCCACGCGCCCCGGCCGGCAGCCCGCGGCTCTGACCTTGCCGGAGGGCCGGGTCGTCCAGCACGTTGTAGGCCGCGTAGTCACGGACGCCGTGCAGCCGCAGGATCTGCACCACGGCGTTGCTGAAGCCGCACTGGGGCTGCTCGGGCGTCCCCTTGAGGAAGACCACCACCTTGTCCTTCTTAACCATCGCGTCCAGGTGCTCCGTCGAGCCGCCACCGCCGCCCGCGCCCGAGCCCGCCGTCCGCACGCCCGGGCTCCACAGGCCTCGGCCCGCGCCGCGCCCCCAGCGCAGCAGGGCCGCCGCCGCCCGGCCCAGGGACCCGCTCATTCCGGCCGCTCCAAGGCCCGGGACCTCAGAGAGCCGCGCCGAGTGTCCCCCGACAACCCGCGGCCGTCCCGCCCCCCGGGCGTGCTCATTGGGCTGGCCCCGACTGCTCTCTGTCATTGGACAGTACTGGCCCGCAATCACTTGATTCTACCAATCATAGAGAAGGGAGGTGGTCCTTTGGCCTGACTGGCATGTTGCCGTCTTGCGATTGGCCTGCGACACCCTCTTTGCCATTTGATTGGAGAGAGTACGTGTCCATTAAGGACCACGCTGCCCGGCAACAGAAGCCAAGCGAAGGGGCCGACTTCCTTCCTCCTAGAAATGGGCGGGCCCAGCTGGGACAGGCGCTGAGCGGACTGTCTTCGGTCCCACGGAATGCCGGGAGAGGGTCACACTGGCAGATGAAAGTTCTGCTTCCGGGTCGGCAGTCATTGGGGTGCGCGGCGAGGGTGTTCCGGAAGGTGCTGCGGTTAGACCCGCCCGGCGTCTTCCTCCCGCTCTGTTTCCAGGAGCGCCCTGGGGATTTCTGGAGGGCCGCGTCGCGGGGAGCCGGGTCCGGCGGGGCCCTGATGGCCGGGCCTGCCGGGGTTCCGGGCCCTCAGGACTGAGGTGGTCCCCTAGCCAGTGTAAGGACGGGGTGCTTACACAGGGTGGCCTAGTGGGTGCTGGGGCTCGTGGGAGGACGGGGTCCACCCGTGGCCGGCCGGATGCTGGGCTGGTGGAGGACGGGGTTCCTGGCGGTGGTCATCCCTACATCTGCAGTCCTGGCCCAGCGCCGGGTCGGACGTGCCCCAGCGCCTACCGGACTTGCAGGAACAGTAGGTGCGGAGGAAGCCGAGGCATGGCCGCCCCCAGGGCCGGTGGCTCCATGTGCAATGTTCCTCGGACAGACCCCGCTGTGGCCACGGGGATGGCGGCCCGGACCCTGCCGTCATCCATCCGCCAGTAGCCAGAGCAGCTCTGCAGTTCAGATATTGTTCGGCAGACCAAGTGGTTTCTGTTGGACACTTCAGTACTGCGACATGTGACGTGGGGTTTTTTTGGTCAGTCTTGAAGAAAAAAGTTCCCAGTGTGGTTGTGCCTCGGGAGTATCTTAGGGTTGTGCTCGTGTTTGAAAATGTGATAATCCAGCACGAGAATCCGCACCGGCCTAGAGGACTTCCCTGCCCCAGCAGTGTGGGGGTGCCTGCAGGTTGTCACAGTGACGGGGTTCTTAGAGGAGTCTTCCTGTTTTCCAGAGTTGGGGAGCCCAGTGGAGTCGGCGGCTCTGGCATCTGAACCCGCGACTGCACTGTGAGCTCAGAGGTGGATCCTCGGGTTTGGTGCTGCAGCACCTGTCGGACCCTCCCAGAAATGCCCCCTGCCTCTGTGATCGGAAGACTTTGGTTTGTTTTCATCATAAAGGCGAGCGCTGTGTTTCTCCCCCACCTGTGCCCTTGCACTGCTCAGCTGTTGCCCGGGAGGGTGGAGACCCAGTCCTACCTGGTGGCTGATGTCACCTTCCGGAGCACTGTGGTCTTTTAGGGTTGTTGGCTGCTTTGTGATGTCACGATCACAGCTGTTTAATGAAGGATGAGGAGTAATTACCCCCCCCCAAAAAAAAAGAAAGCCTGTGATTTCCAAAATTAGAGTGGGGATGCTGTGTGTGATAAGGGCACCAAGGAAATGCTAAGGATGTGGGAAAGCACTTGTTGGTGCTCTTTCGCACTGCTGACAGGGCTGCCTTACAGAAGAACGAACGAAAATAAGACTTGGGTCTGGCACAGTGACTCAGTGGCTCGTCCTCCCCCTTCCAGTACTGGCATCCCATATGGGCGCCGGTTCGTGTCCCAGCTGCTCCACTTCCCATCCAGCTCCCTGCTTGTGGCCTGGGAAAGCAGTAGAGGGTGACCCAGAGCCTTGGGACCCTGCACCTCGTGGGAGACCTGAAGGAGCTCCTGGTTCCTGACTTGGGATCGGCTCAGCTCCGGCAGTTGTGGCCACCTGGGGAGTGAATCAGTGGACGGAAGATCTTTCTTGCTAACTTTCTGTGTGAATTTGTATTTCCACTAAAAATAAATCTTTTTTTATTGGAAAGACAAAGTTAGAGGGAGAGGAGGGAGAGATTGTCCATTTGCTGTCTCACTGCCCTGATGGCCGCAGCAGTCGGGGCCAGGCCAGGCTGGAGCCAGGAGCTTCGTCGGGGCCCCCACGTGGGTGCAGGGATTCGAGCACCCGGGCCAGCTTCTGGTGCTTTCCAGGGCACAGTAAAGGAGTAGCCAGGACTTGAACTGAGAAAGTAAACACTTTTAAATATTAAAATACTTAATTGTTTAGTATTAAAATGGTAATTACAAAAATTGTACCAAAAATGTTGTTTGAGAATTGGTTTCCCCCACAGACTCACTTTTTAATGAATGATTAACATTTTACATTTGTTTGTTTTATAGATGGTTCTGTAACTCGGATGATAACATCGCAGCTAGACAAGGAGCCTGCGCCTGTGTGTGTGTGTGTGTGTGTGTGTGTGTGTGTGTGTGTGTGTGCTGGGAGAGTTTCCTGCTGTGGAATATTCTAGCTCCCCTGTCACTGGGTCTGCAGCCAGAACACAGGGCGTTTGTTGGCTTCCACGTGGTGCGGTGCATCACGCAGGCCGTGACGACTCCGTGGTGTGTCGAGCTTTACTTGGTGCCACCAACATGTCACACCTTCACAGTTAACCTGTCCCATTGGTGCCACGTCAACAGTCCTGCCAGGAAAAAAAGGGAAATTCACCCGGCGTGAGGGGCCAGGGCTCTAGTTAGCAGGAGCATGAGACATGGACTAGTAACGGTCATTTTGCTGTGCAGGAGAAAATGGCTTTTTTTAAATGACACCCTTCCCCAAATAAAAATACTTCATTTGTTACTTTGAAACTTCATACTCCTTGAAAATGTGGCCTAGTGAGAAAACGTGTATCAGTTTCAAAGAATTTTGATACACCTTTTTAAATCAGTTACATTCCCTTAAAATCAGGGAAGGAGAGCCCTTGTGTCCCTTCACCTCCCTGGAGAACAAGTGACCAAGCCGCTGCTGCCCCATGGCTGCCTGGACAGGGCACGTTCCACCCTCTCCCTGTAGGCACTTACTGCTTGTATTGCAAACAGAACCCTGGCCAACTAAATCAATCTATTCGCAAGTTCTTTTATAAAATAAGTTACTGTCTTACCCAGCAAGGCCGGTAGGGGGTGCTAGACTGTTCCCCTTGGAAGCCAGGGCATCCCAGAGCAGAGAGGCTGTCCTGTAATTCCCACCTGCGTGCCCAGTGCTGGCAGATGCCCTCTGCTCACGCCAGGACTGTCATTTAGGGCGTGGCAGCCTGGCATGGTTTTGTGGATTACAGCAAAACAGATTAGAAGTAGTATATTGAGTAGACTAACAGACTGGTCTGCAAAAGAGAGAACCAAAAATTCTGGAATTTCTTGGAGACGACAGCATTGTGGGAGCAGATGATAAGAGACGGAGGGGCGTGGGAATCCTGGTGCAGTGCTGCCCCCACATCCCCGCTGGAGCCCCCCAATCTGAAACAGTATGAACCCCAACATGGTGCCACATGTAGAAACTCCCACGCCTGCCCTCCTGTGAGGGGCTGCTGTCAGCGCGGGCCCTGTGGAAATACTCCACGGACTGACCTGTGGGTGCCTGCATGTGACATACACGCAGTCTGTTTAGTTCTGCCCATAGGCTGCCACATTAAACACAGATATTCCCAAATCTGGAATACCACTGGTCCGGTTCTGGATACGGGACACTCGGTCTACTTTCAAGTCACCAGGAAGGAGGATTTTAGTCCACAGGCTCTGACAAATCATTTAAACATGCATGCTTAAGATCACCAATAAAAACTACACACACACACACAGTGTGAAGGGGTTGCGTTAACAAACTGCAGAGAAAGTCTACCCGTTAAGCCAAGTCATTTTGTGTTTTTAATATTTATTTGAAAACAGATTCTGAATCTAGCGGTCCACCACCCAAATGTCTACACCAGCCCGAGCTGGGCCACACAAAGAAAGGAGCCGAGATTCAGCCCGCGGCGCCCACTATGAGCTGTGCCCTGTGTCCCCTGAGGGTGTGCTACAGCACAAGGCTGGGGCAGAAGAGCCAGAATTGCATCGAGGCACCGCCATGGGGGTATGAACGTCCCTCGTGGCTCCTTGAACCAGCGCCAAATATGTGTACTGGGTCTCATATCCAGGAGTCTTGGGGCTGATCCTGGCACTTTGTTTTTCTAATACATAATTCTTAAATAAACAACATGTGATACGGTGAGCCACTCAGGACAGGGGCTCTGCAAATCCTGGATGGTGTGAAACTCCGTGTTACCCACAGATGTCACAGCAGGTGAAGGAACACCCACAAGCTCCGTGCCAGGCTGGGTCCAGTGTAGAGCAAGGGCGCCCCATGTCCCAAGGACCTCCTGGCTTTGCAATGGGCACTGATGCACGAATCAGTTTCACAAAAGATGTGTGGGATGGGCGGTGCCTCTGGATGAGAGACGGTTTCAGAAGGAGCACAAGTGCAGAGTTCTTGAGTGATGGGGGCAGGTGGGAGAAGGATGGGTTGGAGGTGGCTGGAGATAAGGCGTTTGGGCACTGGAGGGAGGATGGGCCGCACTGGGAGACCAGCTGGGAGGGGCTGGGGGCCCCAGGCCGTGGCGACATCATGCAGAGGTAGCGATGGCAGGGCCTTGGGGGAGTGTGGACGGGAATGCAGTGATGAGCTCCGTCAGAGCAGAACTGAGAGGCCAGGGGAGAACTCAGCCTCTGGGTCAGGTCACCAGGTCACCACGGCTGCTGACTGAGCCAGCAGGCGTTCCTGGTCATGCATCGACCCCAGGGGCTCCAGGACAGGAGGCCACTGGGCCGGTTGATTTGTCAAGCGTCTGCTGGCCACTACACATCACTGCATGGGAGTCTGTCTTCAGCAGTCCCTGTCATTTGTCACCTGATCACATCGGATCTGGCTAACTGACCAAATTCCATCAGTGATACAAACATGCTGCCCCTTAGGCTGGTGACAACATGGACTGCAGGGTCCTCAGAGCTGCCAACGGCACCGCAGTCACCACGGTGTGCAGGCCGCTCACCCCCTTCCTTCCCCCAGAGTCACTGCCATCTGCTGCGTTCAGCTCCTTCACAAGCTACGGTCACTGCAGCTGGTCACCGCACCTGAGAGACAGAAAGCAGTATTTGTTCTGTGTGTGGAGCCAGCAGATTGCAGTAAGACCCTGTGGGTCTGTGGAGCCGGGCACCTGCAGCGGCCCAGCCTGTGTTAGGGAAGCGTACTGCCCTCACCAAGGGCTGACCTTGGCCCTGACCATGAAGCCACAGGATCATCCCAGTGACTGGGTTCCTGCCCACCTACATGGGAAGCCTGGATTGAGTTCCCAAGACCCTGGCTGTTAAGGGCATTAGGGGGAGTGAACTTGCTCTCCCTCTGTCCACAACAGAACTCCCACAGACACATGCACCCACTTGCTGTTTACAGGTCCTTTTATCGGGGACTTCAGAGGGCGCCGGCTCATCTCAGGATAGCCCATGGTGGCAGAGACCCCTGCCCGGGCTCCACTGCCCCAACCTGGCTGCCAAAGCCATTCCTCTGAGTGTCTGCTGGGGGTGGGGGAGGGTGGCCTCTGCCCACTTCCCGGGCATTCTGTCTCCCATGGGCTTCTCATGTCATCACACACAGAACAGCAGATTTCAAAATCATGTCTCCAGGGAGCACAAAAACCAATGGTTTCCCTCCTGCGGGGAGGAGTCCTTGTTACCTACAGCCACTTCCTGGCTTGGTCTTAGACTGTTGCTGAGAATGGAAGCTCCCGTCAGGGCTCCCCTGGGCACGGAACCTGGCGCGCCCTCTCCGGGAGCCTCCCCACAGCTCTACGGAGCAGGCGCGGGCCCACTTGCCAGATGTGCAGGAGAGGCGGAGTGCTGGCTCACCCGCGCTCCGCCCAGAGAGACGCCCCACCAGCGGGCGTGGATCCAGCCAATCTTGTGGCTCCGCCA